CACCAGATTAACTTCAACCACTTCAGTTCCCCATGCCAAGCTACCAGCTCCTGAGCCCTCTTTATTTGGAAAGCAGGAAAGACTTTGCTCCTTTTTTTTATGGGTTCAATTCCAACCCATTCCAGTTTAATTTTGGGAAACCTGAAAACTGAAGGAAAGCAGATATCCTCAAAATAAAATATTGTTTGAGGCCCTTGATCCAGCAGCTGGAAATACAAACTTTGCTGGGAGCTGGGTTTGCCTCTTGGTACTGAAATTAGGCCATAAAAATGCAATTCCAGGGATGCTTTTCTCCACTTTTTATTAAAAATAACTGGGAGGGTGGTGCCTGGGGTTATCAGCACAACCTGCTTTCATGTGTGTACATCTATAATTCACTGTATTAACATCCCTCAGTAGAGTGCAGGCCCTTAACCAGGCTGATGGCAAAAAGGGAATTTTTAAGAGTGAGTTCAGGGATTGGGAATGCAGGTACCAAGACAGAAAATTGATTGGTTGCTTGAACCTTCACTTAAGAGAGACTTAATGGGATGAGGAGATTAATAAAGGGGGTCTCTGGGGCTGCTGGCACTGCTTTAGGAACCCCAGAGGTGAAGGTAACAGGAAATGGATGGGGCAGGTCAGGGACTTCCAGGATTTTCATGGACGTTCTTACAGAGATTTTGGTTCATGATTTGATTTTTAGTCAAGATGCAGCTTTTGTGCACTGATGTTTTTCCTTCTGGGGTGCATCGGGATGGGCATTGCCAGCAGGACAGGGCTGATGCTGCCCCTGTGCCCAGCCCTGGGGGCACCTCTGGCTGCCGTGTCCAGCTCTGGCTCCTCAGCACAGCAGGGCCAGGAGCTCCTGGAGCTGAGCAAGGGCCTGGAGCAGCTCCGTGCCCAGGAAAGGCTGAGGGAGCTGGGGCTGCTCAGCCTGGAGAGGAGCCCCAGGGAGAGAGAGGGGCCTCAGCCCTGCCTGGCCCTGCCTGGCCCTGTGTCTGTCCCTGGGTCTGTCCCTGGGTCTGTCCCTGTGTCTGTCCCTGGCTGTCCCAGGAGCAGGGAGGTCATTCTGGCCCCTCAGTTTGGGAAGGACCTGGGGACACTGAGCACATGCAGAGGGGCCAAGGAGGCTGGAGAGGGGCTGGGAACACAAACCCTGTGAGGAAGCCCTGAGGGAGCTGGGGGTGCTCAGCCTGGAGCAAAGGAGACTCAGGGCTGCCCTCCTCCCTCTGCACAGCTCCTGAAAGGGGCCTGGGCTCAGCTGGCCCTGGGCTCTTTCTCCAGCAGCACTGACACAACCAGAGCACACAGCCTCGAGCTGCACCAAGGGAAATCCAGGCTGGAGAGCAGGGAAAAGGTTTTCCCAGCAAGGGTGAGAAAGTTCTGGAATGGCTGCCCGGGGAGGTGGTGGAGTCCCCATGCCTGGGTGTGTTTAACAAAGCCTGGATGTGGCACTGGGGGCCAGGGTTCAGTTGAGGGGTTGGGGCTGGGCTGGACTCGATGGCCTTGAAGGTCTCTTCCAATCCAGGGATTCTGGGATTCTGGGAATTCTGGCTGTCCCTGTCTGTCCCTGTGTCTGTCCCTGTGCCTGTCCCTGTGTCTGTCCCTGTGTCTGTCCCTGTGTGCAGAGGTCAGAGCAGGCCCAGGCTCTGCTCCAGGCCCAGCAATGGCCCCAGAGCCACGGGCAGGGCCTGAGCCCAGCAATTCCCCTGCACAGGAGGCACAACTTCTGCCCTGGGCAGGGACCGAGCTGGAGCAGAGCCCAGAGAGGGGCTGGAGTCTCCTCCCTGGGACATTCCAGAATCCCTGGGCTCTGGGGGGACCCAGAGGTGGCACCAGTGACCCCCAGGGTCCCTCCAACCTCGCCCATCCCGGGGTGCTCATTTCAGTGGCATGGAAAGAAGGGAACCAGGTTTCAATCCACTCTTCTCGCTGTGTTCCGTAAATCTGTGACAAAATCCTGCTTCCTCCATCCTCTCATGCACCTTCTTACTGGTGTCCATGGGATTCTGGGACTTTGGGGTACTGGGGTTCTGGGATTGTGGAAATCTGGGATTCTGGAGTACTGGGATTCTGGGTACTGGGAGTCTGAGATTCCAGGATTCTGGGATTCTGAGAGTCCAGGATTCTAGAATTCCAGGATTCTGGTGTTCTGGGATTCCGACTTGGGATTCTGAAATTTTGGGATTCTTGGATTCCGGGGTTCTGGAATTCTGGGGTTCTGAGACTTCAGGATTCTGGGATTCCAGGATTCTGGAATTCTGGGATTCTGAGATTCCAGGATTCTAGAATTCCGAGATTCTGAGATTCTGGAATTCTGAGATTCCAGGATTCCAAGATTCCAGGATTCTGAGATTCTGGTGTTCTGGGATTCTGAGACTCCAGGATTCTGGGATTCCAGGATTCTGGAATTCTGAGATTCTGGGATCCCAGGATTCTGGAATTCTGGGATTCTGAGAGTCCAGGATTCCGGAATTCTGGGATTCCAAGATTTCAGGATTCTGGGATTCTGAGAGTCCAGGATTCTGGAATTCCGGGGTTCTGAGATTCCAGGATTCTGGAATTCTGAGATTCCAGGCTTCTGGGATTCTGGGATTCTGAGATTCCAGGCTTCTGGGATTCTGGGATTCTGGGACTCCAGGATTTTGGATTTCTGGGATTCTGGAATTCTGGGATTCTGGGATCCCAGAATCCTAGGATTCTGAGATTCCAGGATCCTAGAATTCTAGAATTCAGGGATTCTGAAATTCTGGGATTCCAACTTGGGATTCTGAGATTCTGCAATTCTTGGATTCTAGGGTTCCGGGGTTCTGGAATTCTGATGTTCTGGGATTCTGGGATTCCAGGATTCTGGAATTCTGGGATCCCAGGATTCTGAAATTCTGGGATTCTGAGATTCTGGGGTTCTGGTGTTCTGGAATTCTGAGATTCCAGGATTCTAGAATTCTGGGATTCTGGTGTTCTGGGATTCCAGGATTCTAGAATTCTGGGATTCCAGGATTCCGGGATTTCGGGATTGCAGCCTTCTGGAATTCTGGGATTCTGGGATTCCGGGGTGCAACTGAGCAGAGCCCTCGAAAAGGGGGTGACAGAGGGAGCTGTGGCAGACCACAGCCAGGGCTCCTGGGCAGGACTGGACAAGGCACTTTCCATGCCCTGCCTGGGATTCCCTATTGGAATTCTCCTCCTGGGATTCCAGCACTTGGGAGAGGTCCTGAAATCCATGGAGTGCCTGCTGAAACTCAGGAGCTGTGGCTGCCTGAACCCCATTTCAGAACCGAGAGCTGCAGTGTCAGCCCAGGCTTGGCTCACTCTGGGGACGCTTTGGGGTGTTTGCTTTAATGCCACCCCCGGAGATTGGATTCCCTCTGTCCCTCCCTGTGCCCTTGAATCAACTCTGACCATAAATTAACAACCAGGTGATGCTGCAATCCACAACACGACAGCTTTTGTGCTCTTCTTGTTCCTCCTAAAGCCCATTTGATGCGGTTGGATGTTGCTTTTTTACCAACATGAGACAACTGATTTTATTTTGAAGGATGGCTGCCTGAAAAAAAAAAAAATATATAAATAATATCTGGATTTGAACTTGTTACTCAGCAGAAAAATCCAACTTCAATCTGCAGCTTCAGCAGTGGCTTTTGAGAAGCTGGGGGCTTTGGATAAATCCTGCCTTGTAAACAGATGGAACAAACAAAATGTAAAACTCATCTCCTTAAAGAACAACAAAAGAATATTTTCCAGATGGGCTTTCTGATGGGAGATCAAAGTCTTCATCTCAGACTTGGGAAATTTCCCTTCCTTGCTGGTATCAGTTTTATCTGCATGCAGATCATCCAGCATTTGGTTTTCTTTCACCGAAGGCATTTGTCTTAAAGGAGCTGCAGGAGGATGCTCTTAAAGCTGAAGAAAATAGAAAAGATTTTACTAAAAATAGGGGGGAAAATTTGGGTGGGTAAAGGGGAGAGGAAAGTCTTTGATTCCTTTGATTTATACAAAAATGAGATCTTTCAAAATCTCAGCTTCACCTGCAAAATGAAACAAGCAGGAAAGAGTTGAGGCAACTGATTTGGACCAACTCCTTTTTGAGTTCCTCTGATTCCAAAGCTCATCCCAAGGAGTCCTGTGGGCAGAAAAGAATCCCTTGGTGGTTTTATAGATTCTGCATCCCCCAGGAACTGCAGTGACAAGGGGGGAATGGCTCCCAGTGCCAGAGGGCAGGGCTGGATGGGATCTTGGCAATGAGGAATTGTTCCCTGGCAGGGTGGGCAGGGCTGGCATGGAATTCCATCCCTGGATCCCTGGCAGTGCCCAAGGCCAGGCTGGACACTGGGGCTGGAGCAGCCTGGGACAGTGGGAGGTGTCCCTGCCATGGCAGGGGTGGCACTGGGTGGGCTCTGAGGTCTCCTTGATGCCCTGCATGACAATTTTTGGCTGAAAGAGCTGTGGACACACAGCTCCAAAGACTGAGGAGGAGTTTTCCCCTTGGAAATTTTAATCTGGTTTTCCCTCTCTTCTTCTCTGGTGTTGGGGCTGGGTTGAACTCGATGATCTTAAAGGTCTGCTCCAACCCAGTGATTCTGTGTGCAATTTTGTGTGTAATTTTTCCTGCCTGTTATTAATGGGAAACAGCAAAAAAGCTTTGCAAGGAAAAAAATTGAAATGAAATGAAATAATAAAATAAAAAATAAAAAAAATAAAATTTTAAACAATTAAATATTTAATAAATTTAAATAAATTTAACATTTAATAAATATTTAAAATATTAAAATAATAATAAAAAGGTAAAACAATAAAATAATAAAATGAAATGAAATAAAATAATAAGATAAAATAAAATAAAATAATAAACCAAAATGAAATAAAATAATAAAATAAAATAATATAAAAAATTAAAATAAAATTAAAATAAAAAATAAAATAAAATAATGTAATATAAAATAAAATAAAACAAAACAAAATAAAATAAAACAAAATAATGTTATAGAAAGCAACCATGGGTGTGTTTGTGCTTGCAGACTCCCGGCAGGTGCAGCCCTCGCCGCCCTGGTCCTATGACCAGTCCTACCAGTACCTGGGCTCCATGGCCACGCCCGCCGTGCACCCGGCCACGCCCATCTCACCTGGCCGGGCCGGCGGCATCACCTCGCTCACGGCCGAGCTCTCCAGCCGCCTCTCGGGTAAGGAGCCGCCCCCGGGACAAAGGGACACAGGGACACTCCCCGCGGCAAAAATGCTGGCCCTGTCCCCACCCCTGCTGCCTCCAAGCCAAGGGAATGCTTCCCTGGTGACAAACGGGTGGCCCTGTCCCTAACCCTGACTCTCCATCACAAAGGGACACTCCCCTGGGTGGCAAATTGGTGGCCCCTGTCCCTAACCCTGACTCTCCATCACAAAGGGATGTTCTCCAGTGGCAAACTTCTGGCCCTGTCCCCACCCCTGCTGCCCTCATGCCAAGGGGACCTTTCCCAGTGGCAAACTGGTGACCCTGTCCCCGACCCTTGGGCTCCCCATGATAAAGAGACACTTCCCTGGTGACAAACTGGTGGCCCAGGTGCTGCCCCAGCCCTTCAGGGGCTCTCTGGCAAAGCTCGTTCCGAGGTTCTGGGGAATTTGTGGGAAGAGCAGAGAAACAGAGAATTTTAATAAATAGAGAATTTTAATAAATAGAGAATTTTAACAAATGAGCTGTGTTGTGATAAACCAATCCCAGATAGGGCTGGGAAAGATCTCAAAGGTCATCAAGTCCCAACAGTGCCCCATCCCCACCTTGTCCCCAGCCCAGAGCACTGAGTGCCACCTCCAGCCCTTCCCTGGTCACCTCCATCCCCTCCCTGGGCAGCTCTTCCCAAGGCCTGAGCACCCTTTCCAGGGGCAAATTCCATCTGGTGTCCAGCCTGAATCAGGAAAGGGAGCTCAGGCCTTGGCAGGGGCTGCCCAGGGAGCTTTGCAGTGCCCATCCCTGGCGGTGCCCAAGGCGTGGACGTGGCACTCAGTTCAACAAGCTGGGCAGGGGGCACAGCTGGGCCTGGATGATCTCAGAGGTTCCTCCTTACCTCATAAATTCTGGTGATCCCATAACCTTCCCCTCCCTCCCTTCCCCTCCCCAGGAGCGTCCGAGCTGACGGCGTTCAGCGACCCCCGGGTGGGCATCGAGCGCTCCTTCCCGGCGCTGCCGTCCATCTCCGACCCGCGCATGCACTACCCGGGCGCCTTCACCTACACGCCCACGCCCGTCAGCTCCGCCATCGGCATCGGCATGTCGGCCATGTCCACGGCCTCCAGGTACCACACGTACCTCCCGCCGCCCTACCCCGGCTCCTCGCAGGCTCAGGGCGGCCCCTTCCAGACCAGCTCCCCCTCGTACCACCTGTACTACGGCACCTCGGCCGGCTCCTACCAGTTCTCCATGATCTCGGGCGGGGAGCGCTCGCCGCCGCGCATCCACCCGCCCTGCACCAACGCCTCCACGGGCTCCGCGCTGCTCAACCCCAGCCTGCCCAACCAGAGCGACGTGGTGGAGGCCGAAGGCAGCCACAGCAACTCGCCCACCAACATGGCCAGCACGGCCAGGCTGGAGGAGGCCGTGTGGAGGCCCTACTGAGGATGAGGAGGTCAGGAAGGAGCTCGAGGGTCAGGACTTAACGCACTTCCCGTTGCCCGGCGCCTGGAGGGATCCCAGAAACTTCCCTGCGGGCCCTGCCGCATTCATCCACGAGTTTCAGGAGCAAACCCTTGGGAAGTCAGCGCTCCCAGGGGTGGTGGCTCTCATTGCCAGGCCCTGGCAAAGGCTTCCCGGCAGGAGAACGAGCTTCTGGGAAGGAGGAGGCCCCGGTTGGTGGTGCAGCGGTAGCGAGGGTGGGTAAGAGGGTATCCAGCCTGATTCCAGGCCTGTGGCTTCCCAACGTGCCTGGGCTTGAAGGTCTCCACAGCCCTAAAAGAGAGTTTCGGTTCACTTCTATTTTTAAGACTTAAAACCTTAAAAAAAAAAAAAAACCAAAAAACAAAAATAAATCTTAGTGAGTTTACTGCATCTTAGGGACATCTTAAGTGTAAGGAAGTATAGGAAGATTCCCAGAGGGAAACTGTGAACGCTTCTGTTTTCGCAATGCTGTGAATGAGAGGTTTTATATGTTGGACTTCATTCTTTCTTTTCTTTGTTTTGTTTGTATATTCCAAAGAATATGGATTTTTTTATTACTGGGGTTTTTTTTTGTTTTATTTTGTTTTGGGGTTAGGTTTTTTGGTGTTTTTTGGTTTTGTTTTGTTTTCTTTTTTAGGATGCAGCTCATCCTGCTTTGCATCTAATTTGTTTTATTTCTCTTGGCACCTTATAAATTGCAAAAAAAAAAAGATTTTGCTCTTTTTTGTTTTAATCATGCTTGCTTCTTTCTTGCTTTGTCAACTGAAAGAATCAGCCCCTTTTTCAATGAGTTAATTTAACTTTTTATCTCTTGGACTTTTTTTTCTTTTTAACACAACGGCTACAGCCTTGGGTCATTTTCAACTACTGTATTTCTTTGATGAGTTGATTGATATTTATGCCTGATATTTAGACTTTTCTTATTTGTTGATACTATTATTATTTAAATATGCCTATATTAAAAAAAAATATCAGCAATTGCCTTTTTTTGGTAGCAGCCAAAGTCAAATTTCTCACATTGAAAAAGGCTGGAATAACGATGGGCAAAAGTGACCTCTGAATTCCCTAAAAATATTGTTTACAATTATCTTGCTCTCATTTTACTCAGCTTAGGTCCTCAAAGGCATTGAGGTGCCCAGTTCCTGCTGGAAGGCACCAAAATCCCTGGGAATTTCTGTACCTTTCCAAGTGGTGGAGTCATCTCTCCCTCCTCCTACTTTGTCACCAGTGGTGGCCCTCAGGATCAGGAATCAGGACATAGATACTTCCTGAGGCAAATTCAATATTCCCTAATTAAATACCTGCCCACTGCAGGGACAGGACACAGGGAATGGCTCCCAGTGCCAGAGGGCAGGGCTGGATGGGAATTGGGAATTCAGAATTGTTCCCCGGGAGGGTGGGAGGCCCTGGAATAGAATTCCCAGAGCAGCTGTGGCTGCCCCTGGATCCTGGAAGTGTCCAAGGCCAGGTTGGAGCAGCCTGGGACAGTGGAAGAGGTCCCTGCCCACGGCAATTTTGGTGGATGAGCTTTAAGATCCCTCCCAACCCAAAGCATTCCCTGGTTCTGTGATTCCCAGGGCAAGGGGGAAGTCCTGGCTCTGATGGAATCTGGGTGAGATTTGCTGCCAGGATCCCTGTGCGGCACAAAGGCCACATTCCACTCTGCTGGCGAACACATCCCTCCCTGGAAAGCTCCAGAAAAGCCGGGGCCAGGACAGCCCTTCCATTTGCATCTTCTGGGAGAAGAGGAGGGGTGTTTAAAGCTGGTGTGGCCAATGTTGTGCCCTGTAGTAAATCTACAAGGGTTTTACCAAGAGCAGGATCAGGAGACGTCACGGCTGCCCATCGCCCCAGCACAAACATATCAGATGTCACTGTAATGCTTTTGGCACTATTTTATTGAGGGTTTGCTCTGAATGCAGCTCTTGTACTACTCCTGAACTCCAAACTGCTGATGTTGACACGTGTGAGTCCCAAATGAGCTGATTATTATTTAATGTACCTCTCAAACCAGAGAAACAATTGCAGGTCAACTCAAGAGAGTATTTGAAAGCAGGACTTCAGATCAGTGTTTGATGTTTAAAAAAAAAAATAAAAAAGTTAAAAGGATTCAAATTAAAAAGATCCTTGGCTGCAGGCAGCAAAACAGCTGGACTTATTTAAAACCATTTGTTTTTCAAGGTTTCTCTTTTTATATATATATATATATGATTTTGCTTCTTTGTTTGAGTTGGATGCAGTAGCACTTTGGTATTGAAAAGAATCGAAGAATTTTCACTGTCAATGAGGTTTTTGTGCAGAAAATAGGGAGTGTTTCAAGAGATCTCAGCAAAAGCCCAGAATGTTTCTGTTAAAACACATGGCCTTGTGCTTTTCATTTATTGAAATATCCTTTATATTTCCAGAGTTTGCTCTGAAAAAAAGACAGAAAACATCCAAATTTTATCAGAAATATATACTGAAAGTCTGGAGACCCTGCTGAATACAGAAATACAGACACCCCCACAGCTGTAGCATTTCTATAGTTGGACTCTCACCTCTTCAGTACCCTAAAATAAAAGTCCCCCAGCACTGAGCAGTAGCTCTGTTGCAGAATCCATTCGGCACATTCTGTGCAATTCAAACCCTAATGTATTGCAGCTCTCAATTAAAATGGTAATTGATTACAGCTCTCACATCTGCCTTGTGACTGGACCACCAAAGTTCACAAAGCTGGGAGTGGAAACACAGCAGGGAGGGAGAGGAGAGAAACTTGGAGGAGCCAGGAAGGGCCAGGTGACCTGGAGAGGGAATTTTAGCAAAAGCAGGGATTGACAGGAGGAGAGGGATGATATTAAGATGAAGGAGAGCAGGGTTAGATGGGATATTTGGAATAAATTCATCCCTGTGAAATTTGTGAGGCCCTGGCGCAGAGTGCCCAGAGAGGTTTTGGATTCCCCATCCCTGGAAGTGTCCAAGGTCAGGTTGGACACTGGGGCTTGGAGCAGCCTGGGACAGTGGGAGGTGTCCCTGCCGTGACAGGGGTCACACTGGATGGGCTTTAAGGTCCCTTCCAACCCAAACCATTCCATGATTTGATGATTCCATGAGTTCAGCCCAGTGGAAGAAGTGAGGTTGTTGTGGCCACCAAGGCAAACTCAATGTGACCACCAAGGTGAGGTTGTTGTGGCCACCAGGGTGAGCTCAATGTGGCCACCAAGGCAAACTCAATGTGGCCACCAGGGTGAGGTTGTTGTGACCACCAAGGTGAGCTCAATGTGGTCACCAGGGTGAGGTTGTTGTGGCCACCACATTGCCAGGCCTGTGGGACACCACAACCTCCTTTCTGCCCCAGCCCTTTCAGCCCCCAGAATTGAAACCCACCCACCCTGGAAGTAAAAACCCAGGGATTCACAGGAACAGGGAGCTGGCAAGTCTGAGACCCTAAATCGACCCTTTCTTATGTCTGTACCTCTCCTTTGTCTCCACTCATGCTAAAGGTGAGAATTTGGCTCTCCCTGATGTGAACAGGATGAGGAGATACAGAACTGGCCACCACCACTTTCCCCTGTGTTTTTATTGACACTTTTCTGGAATTTCTCAGTGTTTCCCCTGTTTTTATTGCCAGCAACCAAATTTTGGAGTCCAGCCTCTCTGGGTATGTCCAGCACTGCAAAGGAAAGGAAAAGCCAAGTTCGTTATCCCTGGCAATTAATCTGTTTAATTAATCACTGTGGGTTTCAGTGTATTCACTCATCAAAAACCACATTTTACTCAAATATTTGGTTTTGTAGCCATCACTAAGGGTGGCACAGTTTTTCAAGGCTGTTAAAATGCTCTCACATCTTTCCTCTTATATTTTAAGAGCATGTAACAGGCAGGAAAAAAAGACATTTGGATAAAACATTTCCCCCATCCCCATCTCCAAATTAGAGTGCAAAAATATCTATTTTTATATGGCTATAATAGATATATTTATAAAATTTTGTCATCCTGGGTGCTGAATGGAATCATAAAATAGAATTCCTGTGCTTCTGCTCTGGAGTTGCAGTCAGCAGAGTGCTTTAGGTACCTCATCCTCCCAAAATTCAGCTCCTGGCTGTCCTTACTCTCAACTTGGGTGCTCCTTTCACAAGACACAGCTCCTTGTCCATGTCAAACATCTTCAACATAAATTTTGCTGGCTCTGAGGACAAATATTTCCCTCTCCAACAACACTTAAAGTCATTTAAGAGTTCCTGCTGGCCCCCAGGACATTGCAGAGGAGCTGTAATGCAGGGAAAAGAGAGTGCAGAGAGCATCCCTGCTGGGAAGGGTTTGATTTGTACAAATTCTGCACCGGGAATGGAGAGAAATCCTCTCCTCCAAACAGCCTTTGCCAAAACATCCCAAATTTCCTGCGCTCTTCAAACATTCTGTGCTGCTTCCTGGGTGCCCTTTTCCGTGGCTGTGGTTGAAATTCAGGGAGGAGTGGATCCGTTTTCTGTCCTCAGAGCAAAACTCTGCCTTGTTTTCCTGCCTTGTTCCATTCCCCATTGGGTTTTTGTTCACCTCGCTGGGTCAGTCCCAACCACTGGGCCCTTTTCTCCTTGTCCTTCCAGGGATGCATCCCCAGAGTTACTTGTATTTATGTCTGTAAATAGATTTCCAAAGCTTCCTAGCCAAAATATTTAGTGCTTGTAATTACTCTGCATTTTTCTCTTTTTTGGTTTTTTTTCTGTGTTTTTAATGAACTGACCTTTGTGTTTGCTGAAATACTGTAGTGAGACTTCTTTCTTTTCCAAATTAGTTATTTTTAGGCTTCAAGAAGAACTACATTTTATTCACTTTTGTAAACAGTTATAGCATGGTCTCTATCCAACATCCTTCACTTTTTTGGGGTAGGGGAGAAACAAACGTGCAAAAAAAAAAAAAATCTGTGGGTTATTTGTGGTATTTTGAGTTGGACAATCCCAGCTCTTTTTAAAACCAAAATTTCAGTGTGAGGTGGTGAGGCTGAGGAGGGACACAGCCCCATCAGAGTGGCACCAAAGGGAGTTTGTTCAGCATTTTCTGGCTATGTTTACAAAACATTTTCCCTTTCACGCTGAACTTTTCCTGAAGGGGAAACCATCAGCCTGGGGATTTGTTGGAGGGGTTGATTACCAGGGACTTTTCTTCCTGGGGAGGGCGGGCGGGCAGGGGGTGGCTGCTGATTTTTGGAACCAGATAGGAAAAGAGAACAGAGTAGGTTTTATTTTTTCCCCACTCCAGGAATCTCTAGATAGCACCCCGGGGTAAATTCTTGCTGTCCACAGGGATGGCTGTGTCCAGCACCACAGGAGAATTCATTACAACTACCCAGGGCAGCTGGACTGCTGCAGTAGTTCTAATGAACACTTTTCTTCCTTTTCTTTCTTTCTTTTCTTTCTTTCTTTCTTTCTTTGTACCACAGTTTCCTCTGTAAATTCAATATTATAATTAGTGTGAATGACAAATAAAATGTTTGACAAGTATGCACGTGGGCCTGCTGCATTTTTTTATCTGGGAGAAAAAAAACCAAAAACATCCCAGGGAAAAAGGAGCCATCAGGAGGAGGGTGCTGAGTGTGTGGCACTCACAACATCAAAAATGGTTTTCTGTAGTTTTAATTTTTTAAAAATTCTTTCTTTTTTCTCAAAACAGTATTTTCCTGCTGTGGATTAAGCTGGTGAAAGGCCTGAAATCCAACAGGACACCAAAGCAGGAGGGAAACTTTACAGTGAGGCTGCCCAGAGAGGCTGTGGCTGCCCCTGGATCCCTGGCAGTGCCCAAGGCCAGGTTGGACATTGGGGACAGTGGGAGGTGTCCCTGCCATGGCAGGGGTGGCACTGGGTGGGCTCTGAGGTCCTTTCCAACCCAAACCAGTCCAGGATTCCACAAAATGAGATTTTGCATCTATAGAAGTCCAATAATTGCATTTTATCCCTGGCTTCTCAATTAAATTTCAGCATTTCAGATTCATCTACAGCT